CAAGACACTTTGCTGTCCGTGAAGGCTTGTTGTATCGCCGCAATTACGTGACGGATGGCCGTAGGTGGCTCCTTGTCATCCCTCGTCATTTGCGTTCGGACATCTGCGCTGCCTTTCACGATGACCCCCAGTGTGGCCACGCTGGAGTATTTAAGACTTACTCTCGCCTTCGTCTAAGATACTACTGGCGCGGCATGTATCGGCACGTTCGCCAGTACGTTCGGTCATGCACCACGTGTCAACGACGCAAGACGCCTTCTCACAGCACTGCTGGCCCTTTGCAACCCTTAATCTGCCCAGCGAGACCATTCGACCGCGTCGGAATTGATATTTATGGTCCTCTACCCAACTCTCTTCGAGGCAACCGGTGGATTATCGTCGCCGTGGATCATTTAACACGCTACGCTGAAACATCTGCGCTGCCGTCTACCACTGCGAAAGACGTTGCGTCCTTTCTTCTTCACCATCTCATTTTGCGACACGGTGCACCTCGTGAATTACTCAGTGACCGTGGACGCGTGTTTCTCTCGAACGCCGTCGACGAGCTACTTAAGGCATGTCGCACTGTCCATAGGAAATCCTCGGCATACCATCCCCAAACCAATGGCATGACAGAACGCTTTAACCGTACCCTTGGAGATATGCTTGCCATGTACGCCTCTGACGACCACACTAATTGGGACCAAGTGCTCCCTTTTGTCACGTACGCGTACAACTCTGCGCCACAAACAACCACTGGCTTTTCTCCTTTCTTCCTTCTGTACGGACGTGAGCCATCATGCTCCATGGACACCATTCTCCCTTACAGGCCTGATGTTTCCGAAGCGACGCCTGTTTCCGAAGCAGCTGCTTATGCCGAAGAGTGTCGTCAACTCGCTCGCTCATTTACCGCACAAGACCAATGGCGCCAGAAAACTGACCACGATTCCTCTGCGTCTACTGTACACTATAACCCAGGAATGCTGGTTTGGCTCTGGGTCCCATCTACCCCTCCCGGTCTTTCCCCGAAGCTTTCGTCGAAATACCATGGCCCCTACCGTGTGATGCGGCAAACATCTCCTGTCAACTATGAAGTTGAGCCCATTGATCCACCCTCGGACCAACGCTGCCGTGGGCGTGAAACAGTACACGTATCACGCCTCAAACCGTGCTATGACCCCCTTGTCGTGTCCTTTCTCTAGGTCGCCAGGTTGGCTCCTTTCTGCGCGGGGAGTAATTGTACCGAAGCATAGTGGCGCCAGCTCTGTGCCAGCGTGAAAGAAGACGTTGACGTCCGTGTGTGGCTCGTGCTTGCCGGGCTCCTGCCTGTACCAGCTTGTTGCGGCTAACGTTTCTGGAATAATAACCTGTGTTTTTACGCAACCTTGCTCGTTGCATATATATATATATATATATATATATATATATATATATATATATATATATATATATATATATATATATATATATATATATATACCGGGTGTTCAAAATTAAGCTTTATGATTTTTTTAAAATTAGGCGCTCGAAGGCACGTGAGAACCACTTGTGCAAATAAGTTAAGCGACCAGGGGGACAGAAAGTTAGATGATAATTATCGCTGTCAGCAGCCCAATTAACTAAAATTTAATAATTAACTTTTTACTGGCTGCGGTAAGTTGGCATGTTTATATTGAAAAAATGTAGGCAGTGGTGTTTGTACACAGTTTCAGTTGGAAGATTTTTTCTAGCACGCCTGTGTTCCGAGATATCCGGCTCCAAAGTTTAATTGTCTTTCGCACGATTACGCATGCAAGAGGGTGAGGGTCCGCGCAAAGCTCCTCCCTAAAGTGACGCATCTGTTGCGTGTGGTGTTTAGTGTGTGAAGAGGGTGGAAGCGTAGGCATAGGTGATAGCAATTACCCTTGCCCTCTTCGGCCGTCGAAATCAAAAATCGAAGAACGCTTGCAACCAGTGTCGTAACACGCAACTGCAGAGCCTCTAACGATAGTGGCAGATACCATGCCGAGATAATGGTGCGAGCGGAGAATCTGGATGCCAGTGCGCGTGCGTAATAATCACTAGAGAAGCATGCGTGGTCGTTGCCTGGGCTACGCGAATAGCGTGACTGCTGATGTCCGAGTACTGTAACTTTTATTGAAACAAGAGCAACAACTCCACCAATAATAACTGAAACAGTTTTATCCTTGCTAACGCATATTTCCTGCTGCTACATAAGCATATTTCGGTCATGCACAAATCTCATCGAAACTCTTCACCTCTCAAGACGTCAATGCCCCAAAAAGTGTTCAAAATGCCTGCCTTCGGCAGCAACGCAAAGCATGAACCGCTGTCGCGTCGACTCGATGACTCGGCGCAGTACTTCTGCAGGAATACTCGCACAGGCAGATGTTATCCTGTCCTTCATGTCATTAACATCGCTGGGCTCTGTTACGTAAACTCGATCTTTAACGTAGCCCCAAAGGAAAAAGTCGAGCGGAGAAAGGTCAGGTGATCTTGGTGGCCAAAACATCGCTCCTGCGCGCCCAATCCACTGTTGTGGAAAACGTCTGTCCAACCAGTTCTTCGCCCTGGTAGAAAAATGTGGTGGTGCTCCATCGTGCTGAAACCATACTTGGCGCAGGTCATTCAGGGAAAGACTGCAGACAAGATCATCAATGACAACACCTAATATTTCTTCTGTGTACATCTTTCCGTTCAAGTTGTCCTCAAAAAAGTGAGGTCCGATGATCCTGTCCCCGAGTATGCCGCACCACACATTCACACTCCAGCGAACTTGATGCTTGTGCTGCCTCAGCCAGTGTGGGTTTTCTTGTGCCCAATAATGGGCGTTGTGAAGATTAACACTTCCATTTCGGCAAAACCGAGCTTCATCAGTCCAAATTATTCTGTGCAAAAAGTCATTTTCTTGATCAGTTTTGATGAGGCCCCAATTGCAGAAGTCAACTCGCCTTTCAAAGTCCGCCTCATTTAGGTCCTGATGAAGGTAAACGTGATATGGATGGAACTTGTGCTTTCTTAAAACATTTGTGACTGTTCCGATGCTGCGACCGCACTGATCGGCAATCTGTCGGATGCTGAGCTCTGGCATCGAGGTTACGCACGCGACAACGTCGATTTCAAAGTCTTCATCGACGATTGCCTTCCTGGTCCGTCTCGGAAGGTGGACAGAGCCTGTTGTGCAGAAGCGTCGAAACAGGTTTGTGAAAGTGGGCCTTGTTGGAAGGGGACGGTGTGGGTGGCGAGACGCGTAAAGCTCCATTGCTAACGAAGCGTTGCCATTCATTTCAGCCATTGCAAGCACCACGTCTACTTTTACTTTGGTAGAATACCTCACGCCAGAAGCAGCCATATTAGCTCGAAAGGACTCCACGTGGATTTCCTTGGTAGACCTTCAATGCAGAGACGCTGTGCTCTAACCGGAGGCACCCTAGTGCAGGACGGTCCTGCTAACGCGTTCACAAGAAGATGTCTCAGTGTGATCTAAAGTCACGAAAAAACGTCGCGAAAAATGGTCTCCTGTTATCGCGTTCATCAGGATCATGCGTAAGGCTCATGGCGCACCGCGCTGTCACATTTTGATTTCGCCGGCCGAAGAGGGCAAGGGTAATTGCTATCACCTATGCCTACGCTTCCACCCTCTTCACACACTAAACACCACACGCAACAGATGCGTCACTTTAGGGAGGAGCTTTGCGCGGACCCTCACCCTCTTGCATGCGTAATCGTGCGAAAGACAATTAAACTTTGGAGCCGGATATCTCGGAACACAGGCGTGCTAGAAAAAATCTTCCAACTGAAACTGTGTACAAACACCACTGCCTACATTTTTTCAATATAAACATGCCAACTTACCGCAGCCAGTAAAAAGTTAATTATTAAATTTTAGTTAATTGGGCTGCTGACAGCGATAATTATCATCTAACTTTCTGTCCCCCTGGTCGCTTAACTTATTTGCACAAGTGGTTCTCACGTGCCTTCGAGCGCCTAATTTTAAAAAAATCATAAAGCTTAATTTTGAACACCCGGTATATGACGACGTTCGTTCTTTCCTATACTCTCCCACTGCTACAGTAGGCCTAGGCAATACACGCTCAGATTCATTTCCTATGCCCAATGAAGGCACACCGCAAGGGGTGCTACTATCCCCTCTTCTCTTCTACATCGGCATAAGACGCTTAGCAAGAATACCAGGCGGCGATTCAGGGCTAGGGTACGCATTCTATGCGAATGATATTATCGTATGGGCCAACGGTGGCTCTTTGCAACAAAAAGAGCAAATCCTACGGCAACGCAACATGGTTGAAAAACGCGGATGTTACATTGAACGAGCACGGCGAAACAATCTAGTCGACTAGGAGCACACTGCAGCGCTCCTACTCTTCAGTTTATGTCCTGGCTACTATTTCATCTTTTGTCGCGGCGAGAATCAAGTTGGAGCCATATGCACATACGTACTGGTTTTGAGCCTCTTGCATATTAATAAATAACATCACCAGAACGCGTGCAAAGAATGCATCAATTACAGACGTGGATGGCAGAGAAAAAGAGGGCTAATCGAGAGAGTGAGGAGAACGGCTCGAGAAAAATGAGTGACGCTACCTTGGAAACACATGGCGCTATCACACATGGCAGGCGATTCATGACTTCGCCTGGGTTCAGAGGCCTCTTGAGAGAAACATGACCGGGGAATGAAGTGGTCACTAGATTTACGCCTCTGATAGATAACTTGTGTAGTCACGTGGTACAAATTTGTGCGGTAATGATACTATGATTACATTTGATACCCTCAGTGAAAAAAAATATTTCAATTGAGCGAAAGCGTTGGAATGATTTAGCACGTGTCGCTCACACTGAGTCTCGCACGCTGCGACTTAAGCCGGTTGCCTATTTGGATTTCGTGACTCTAGCTATCGGGGGTATTTCACAGATAGTGTAGCACACGCTGCCATTGTTTTCTCTTTTTTTTGTCAGTGTGGCATGCTCCCCGAACTTGTTGAAACCATGTGGGAGATGCAGTTACTTTTTAAAAACAGAATTTATTTCAGAACAGAAATGTCTTCCGCATTTATTACCGCTAAGTACATTTATTCAAGACACTAAGATGTGTCAAAGACTGTGAACTTCACCGATGAAAAGGATGCGGTTGTTGTCCTTGTCCCTGATGTAGTACAGGAAAGGGTGATCAACGGTGAAAAAAATCGGGGGAGGTGGTTCGTACAGAGAGGAGCTTGGCATGACGAACAAACCAGTGACGGCAGCGGCGACGGTTCCCTCCTCGTTAACCTCGATGGCTGCTTCGTGAACGGCATCGGAAATATGGACGCGTTCACCATCGACGATTCTGCCGAAGTCCGCTGAGCGCCCGAACACGACGTGTAACCCAAGTGCCTCCATTGCGCGCACCAAGTCGTAGCGCTGGTTCATCTCGAACTTGGGCAGCCTGAGCACAACGTCCTTGCTGTACATGCTGTCGTCAAGAACTTCGATAACAGTCGCTGACAGACCGTCCCTTACCGCCTGGAGCCCAGTGAAGTTATCTGGCAGCACAATGACCATGCCAAACTTGCCTCCATTGTAAGGGATTTCCACAGCCGACGCATTTAGGCCGTTGATTGTGGTGTGCGGGAGGCGCGTTGTGAGGTGCATCGACGGCCTGCTTACCTCGGAGGTGCCCATGTTGAAGAAGGGTCTGTTCATGGTGTCGGCCGCATCAAACTTTGTCAGCCAGGTGCCCTTGAAGTAGACAGCATTCAGGATCAAGAGGACGATGTACAACGACTGACGTTCCGGCAAGATACCGGAAATCTTGCCCCGAGTTTTCTCGCGCACCCACGCATTTACTTTTTCGGCGGACCCGGAACCGGCGTTAGCGAAGTCAGCGGACCTGAGCTCCGCATCAAAGACATCTCGTAGCTGCTTCTGGTAGCCTTCAAGTATGGGAAAACCCTTCTGTATGAGGACGAGGTTGGCCACGTCCAGCGTCACGTTCGGAGATTTGGATAGTTGCAGCAAGTTCTTGTAGGACGCGAGAACTCTGGCACGGTCCACGAGGCCGACAGCATTGTGGCCGAGCACCGATACAAGCTCAGCCTCCGAGTTTCCTCTGGCACCAGTGTAGGCCATACCAAATGCAGAAGCGATGCTAGTCGGAGAGAGTACGATGTTCGACAAGGGCTCTTCAAGGGCAAGCTGCTTCAGTAGCTTCACACCGAATTCGTTGTGGGCTCTGGCGAGTAGCTTGACGTCGTCCTGTTCATGGCCAACCGCGAACAGCAACAACGCGAAAAAGGCAAGCTTAGCAAGCATTGTGCCCATCGTTCGTATGCGTGCGTCCGAATGGCTTGCGGCCACGGTGGCTTCTTTATATGCATGGCAGTTTTCAATAATTTCTATCTCTCGTATCAGGCTCCTCATTGTTCCTAAAAGCAACACCCAAATTTCATTTTTGTGACGCTTCTAGGCGATATAAAAACGCTGCACGCTTTATCTCCACGAAGTCGTTCCAGATATTCGATTCTAATGACGCAAGCGCTGCACTAATCAAATCAGAAACCAGCGCGTTCCGACAAAGCAGTGGATTTGCGCTACTTTGTTGGCCTCAAGGACATATTGTGGCGCCACTTACGTCGTGACTTCCCTCGAAGAAGCCGCTATTTGCCATCCGCCAGAACACAGCCTTTCTTGAGGTTTTGCCACCAAGTGATTTTTAACGCGATAGCTTTAAACTGCTCCTTTCGCAAATATCCGGAGTTGGTGTCGGCGTCTTTGGTTGTGAGCAAATGACTAGAGAACGATGCAAATTAAATGACGATAAAAAATTTTGAAATAGATTGGGGAGCAAAGCAGGGTTCATGGGTTTAAGTACGGATTGAACCCAGACTGTTTGCATGGCAAACGAATGTTCTACCGCGCGACCCCAGCTCTGCTTGTTAACACAGAAAAAAAATATCTGATTAGAAATGCAGTGAAAGTAGCTCTGATGATTCACGAACACACGCGCCCCACATACCTGCTTCACAAAGGAACATGAAAAATTCAGTTATTATGCGTGGTACAAGCATTTTTTGCCAACGTACGTCAGAATACGTGATAAGCATAATGGCTCCGTGGTTTGAAGCTAGTTGCCACTACAAAAGGCACACATGCTACAACGTCTATTCTCTTAAGACCACGTAGTGGGTGCATAGCAAATTTGTAGTGATTTAATGCACAAAGTGTTTGAGCTATGGACTGCAAAGATGATGCCGCTATCACGTTCAACTCCTAAAGGTGAATCTGTAAGTTCGCCCAATTTTCGTTGTTTGAACCGCACTACTTTCCCCCTTGTTATGTTGATAATTTCTTACGAAAGGGGTGTGACCTGAACATCTCGGTAAGCGAACCACGACGCAGTGCCACCTAGCGCCGACGTGTATAGCACGCGACGATTGTCGCCTAGCATCGGTTGAGGTGGCGCCATAGAGGACGATGTAACTCACGGCACAAAAGCTAATAAGCTGCTAATACATTTCTTATCGAATACTTTTGCCGCGAGAGTTCACACTAAACCAGCGATTGAAGCGATGAAAGACATGCATCAGTGAACAGAAATACACCCCGTGCGTGCGGTACAAATGAACGATTCTCAGCGAGCACGTGGCAATGGTAAGCAGAGTGAACGAGAACACATGATTGGACGTGCTGGATGAATCTGCTAAACGAAGAGCCGAATACCGCTGGAATGCTCATTTTCGTTGTGCTGCGATCTTACTCACGATCACTGATTACCGCTTTCTTTTTTTACGACTGGTAAATTTACCTCTTGCCTTGGCTGATAGTTTTCGGCAAGGTGTCAATATTAATGTTTAGCGAATTCGATGAGACCATAAAGGTTACAAAATGTCTGTTTTGTATTGAATTCACGGACCGATATTTGAAAAATGGGTGCTCTTCGTTTTACGTTTAGGTGGTCATCAATCTCACCATTAGGCGACCCAAAATATTATGGATCCGGGGAACAGTTTGCCAACAACACAATTCATTGGTTTGTCATCCCAAAACCACATTATCATCCGAAAACAGCCTCCATAAACTTTAGGCACCTAGTTTTTTTTATCGCGCCCCAAGATGATAAATCTGAACACACGAACCTCAATCGTTTTTGAATGCAGTGATTTTAATGTGTACAAGCCTTTAAAAATTAAGACTATTGTAGCGTTGCATGTGAGTATTCACTGCCCAAGGCACGAGTGCTGAAAAAATTGCAGACTGATATCACATTCACATTCGCTACTCTCCCGGCTTGCTACACGTGGAAGTAAAAGGTTGAGACCGGCTTATTTACATTGAATTGAGTATATATGTGGTGAAACGAACCTTGAAGAGTCGGCTCGTGACGCCCTCAGGCGGACCACGCTGTCGTCACTGTAGAGAAACAGCTCCATTGTACTCACGGCGGCTGCTTAGGGCGTAAAAAGGGAAATGGAGTAAGCGTCTCTCGACCGGCCGTGGTTCTGGCTACCTAGACGGCGAATGGCGGGAAAAGTGGAAGCGCGTTATACAGCGACAGCAAACTGGTGGCTTGAAATATGATCTCCAGCAAGTAGCTGCGTGCGAAAAGCACTTACACAAGAGCGAGATCTTTTGCGTGAGCCAGAGCTATTCGGAGGAGCTAATTCTAACATGAAAGCTCTTAGCACGGTCATGCTCTTTTTTTGCGGGATATTAATAAAGTTAAACCAGTCCATTAACGTTGAAAGGAAGGGGCGGGCCAGCTTTTTTTATGTTTTACATACAGCTCCCTAACGTCGCCACAGTCCACTTCAGTGCGAGTAACATGGTCCATACGCCCAAACATTCAACCTGTTCCTATGCTAACAATTGGGTTGACCCTCCTCCGTGTGCCATCGTGAGTTGCACAGCAGGCCAACTATATTCAGTGGGCATTGCTTATAGCAATACTAATCCTGATGCTAACTCAGTATAACGAGATGTATGGCGAGACAGAGCTCTAAACGAAACGGTCGTGTTTGTGGGGAACGAATCGTGATCACCAAACTGTCATCGGAAGAATAACGAGATCGTTACGCATGGTAGAAAATAATGTAATTGCAAAAGATGATAGAAATCTATTATTATGTTTAAAAATCTAACAAGTGCTTGACACAATAGAAAGAGAAGCTTTATTACGGATTCAAACTATAGCTGATCACCAAGAGTTGAACGATGGCGGGATGCCGTCTCGCTTTAGCACGTCGGTGACGTGTTCTTCGACAATTTTCCGTTCAGGGGAGGACGCACGATAGGGATAGAGGTGAACAATTTATTTGCCTTCAGTTTTGATACGACCTGCACCGACGTAGAGCGGCCCAAGATCTTAGAGTAGACATCAAATGAAGTAGTGTGTTTTTGCAGAAGTGATAAAAGTTCTTCCTTTTGCACTGCCGTAAGATGTGAATTTATTGCAGCCGTTAAAGCAGTCATTATAGCGCCATCATCAGTGTTGGTAGCTAAATATGATATTTGCGCGTGGAGAGGCACTATAGAAAGGATTTCGGTGTTGGTAAAGCAAGTCACAGTGGTGCCTTGAGGGAGCACAATAGGCGAAGAAGTGGGATTATGCTCTGTGAGAAACGCTCTCCCATTGGGAAACCACACCAGAATAAGATCAATAGTGAGGCCACCAGAGATTTAACGTCCACACGGTGCATTGAGCACATCCCCAATACCGGTGGCATCGGATGTCAGCATCACTATATGTTCATGACCTCGAAAAATGGAGCAATCATCTCCCGGGGCAAAACGCTGGCTATGGGCGCCGATATCTAAACAAAGTGAATCTCTCATGTGAATGACACTCTGTCGGCAAGATATCCCCACTAAGCTTAGGAGAAAAAGTCCCACCACAAAATAGCGCTTTGGGAGAGGAGGAAAAAACGAGAAATGGTATGTGACACAGAATGTCCGTACTAAAATCGTGAACTGTGCAAACACTAATGGGTGGAACGAAAAATCCGTTAGCACCGCGAAAAGGAGGACCATCATATGAGGTCTTAACTTTTCGCAGGCGAGAACACAAGTCGACAATAATAACAGAAAGAAATGCTCCCGTGTCCACCGAGGCTTCAGTTCGCACCTGCGACACACACTCAAAGTAAATTTGAGGGGAGTTCCAGAAGATTTGCCTAAAGTGGCGCAATCGATAAACTTCAGCTGAACGTTCAAAAACCAAGTCTGGGCAAACCCAGTTGGATAGAATGACACGTAAAGCAGTTTCGCAGGGTCGCCCCAGTAGTTGAACAAACTGACGTGGTCGTACTGCTCCAACCATCTTTCGACTTCTTCACCGCGAAGGTCGGCGGGAACCGGGGGATCTTTTTGAGTGATGGCCGAAGTCGAAGAAGGCACACCTATGAGTGCAGGCTGGGCGGGAGGAGCCAAGGTGCTCTGCTCGTCACGTCACTTTGCCTAGGGCTGGTTCTAAAGATTTGTCCCGAACGTAGCTTGAGGAATGCTTTGTATTAGTAACTGACGAGGACCTGTAGCATGAAGGGGACCGGAAAGGAATCTCAATCACTTATGAGGCAACGTTGATTGATTGGATGGTTGGTTGGTTCGTCAACAGCATGGCGCAATAAACTCTGAGGGTTCGGACTTTGAGTCGGACGGTGTCTTGCTTCATTTGGCGAAGAGTGAATTTATTAGGTATTACAGGTAATATTTCAGTCTATCAACAAAAAGAAAACGCTTAAAAATAACATAAAACACACAATTTAATGTATCTACTCTTAGCATTCCCTTTTTTTAGTTTTGTTAAAGCGTTGAAAACGCTGCTGTGGCTAGAACCAAATGTGACTGCGCCAATTGAAAGAATCACCGGAATTGACAAGTCAAAGTTCAACTGTTCTAAAGGGCCTCTGGTAGTCTTTTTTTTTTGAGTTTCAAACATTCATCACGTGAAAAAGAAGTGCCCTAGAGATCCACTTTCATTACAGTGAAGGCAAATGCGACTGTTCCCGACATGATCTGTGCAGGTAAAAATTCACTGAAGGGACTCGACAACCCAGCCTTGAAGTTGTTGTAATTAGTATGTTCTATTTTCTAGATGAAGATCAAGTGTTCTTGTAAGAGAACTTTAGCTGTTGAAAATTTGGTAAAAACGAAGCAGATTTTTGGAAGTCATGGTCCATCGTTTGCTTTTCGAAACGCGTTGCTATGATAGACACTGACGTAGGCAAAACAGGCAAAATAGGAAGATCATGAGAAGATATTGGTAGTACATCTGCATGCTCACTGAGAGCTAGACCTTTATGGCCGGATATTCATACTAGTGAAG